ACTGCTGCTCTGTTTTCAGGCTTAGAGGTGTACATGTCCGCGAGCAGCAGAACCATAATTATTCCGTGGAAAACCCGTGATTTGCCGAGCTCAGATCGCCTCGCGCCGCTAATTACAGGGCGGGCTGCGGGAGGAGGGGGAGGAGAGGAAGCCTGTTCTCCTGGAGCCGAAAGAGCTTCATCCCCCAGCGCCCAAGGTCCTCCCGTTCTCAGCGCAGCCACTGCAAGGGCCTCTTAGACCTCGCTGCCTGCAGTCTGCTGTCCCAGCGCCTTCATCTCCAGGAACCCAAGGAAACCAAAGAGCAGACCGGCCTTCAGTCAATTACCTGGAACCATTTCCCCTTCCATAGGTAGAAAATAAATTCCTTCCCTTTTCTCATTTTTTTATGTGACTAAACATGGCTGCTGTTAAACACTCTGCAGTTCAATATTCAAAGCAAATTATTTTCAAAGTTCTAACATGGGGAACCCATGAAATGTCAGCAGAAGGTACAAGATAAAAAAAAAATTTCTCCACCTGAACAAAACAGTAGAAGGAACAGCAGTTCTTGGACTTCGGAAGTAACGCAGGGCCAAGTCCAGGATGAAAATGAGAGGATTCTAGAAGACAGCAGAGAGCCCTTCGCTTAACACTTCAGATAGCACAACTGTTTTCCAAAGCGCAACAGAATTGAACGAAAGATGTTCCATGCTCTTCTTCAAAAGAATGATGGAACCGTGCAGATATCTACCTTCCCTTCTCTATTGGAAATTTTCAGGAAATCTGCTGGAAATTTGTATTAAAGGGATGAACTTAATATTCCCTTGCAAGGAAGGAATAGCAAATAATAACCACTTTTTTTAAAAAATTGTGAATCTCTGTATGGGAAGCTCCGAGAAAGGCATTTTATGTATATATTTTTGTTAATCATTGTAAAAGTGAAAGAGATAGACACATTCTTGTATCCGTTTTATAGGTGAAGAATTATAGATGCAGAAAGGTTTAAGGCCAAACAAGCAAGCAAGCAGTCTTACCCACGTTTACAAATCAAATAAGGGTCTAGAAGACACTCAGGTGCAGGCCTGTCCCTGTAACACTGGTTCCATCCCACCCTCCACCCTGTGACCAGTTGCCCAGAACAGCAGGTTACTTTCTCAGGTGCTTTCAGACAGAATAGTGGGGTCTATTTTAGGAATTATCCACAGAAGCCACAGCAGAATGAAGTTTCATTTACAGTAAGCAAATCGCTTCAGTTCTACACACTTAGCGAAATAATGGTAGGGCCAGAGCACATTCAGAGAATCATTTCTAGGAGTCTGAGTCACATGATACTTTAAGAATAATTGTGGATCATAATCGGGAAGATTAACGACAAATCTGTTTCTGGGACCTTCCCGCCCAGAGTAACTGTAGAGATTACAGCATCTGGTATGACTTTAGCTTTATAAATTCAGGCTATGGTAGTTCAAGGTTATCAACTTTTTCTTAATTTGGAAAAATGTTCATTTATTTATTCTTATAAATGAAAGATGAAGGGCTCAGTTTAAAAAACACTCTTCATCTTTCCCCTAAAGCAAATAAGAATGAGTTCAATCACACCCCTTCACTGACAAGCACTTGGCCTGTCATTTCTTCAAAAGTCCCCATGACTAGGAGGGGCCCAACAGTGATAACCCCACCTGTCACTGTACCCGTGGAATGAACAAAGTTGAGATCATGTCTCTAACCAGCTAAAGTCCTTCAGTGGCTTCACAGGGCCATTTGGAAAGATTAAAATCCTGTAGCGACTTACCTGGTTTGACCTTTGCCTCTCCCTCCCACACCCTTCCTCCCCTACCCCACCCTCAATGCTCTATGAACTCTGACCAGTGTTCCCTCTCACCTCAGGACCTTTGCACATTCTGGGCCCTGTGCAGGGGAGCCTTATCTGCCCTCTGCCCTTCAACTTGTCATCTCCTCCTAGGGTCTCAGCTCAAAGGTAACTGACTAAAGGAAGTCCTAACCTGGCTCCTGTCTTTTGGGACTAATTAGGATCCTGCTGATGCCCTCTGAGACCTCCCCCTACCTTCCCTTCTTAGCACTTAATCCTTTTTCTTTTCTCCCACCAGACTGAAAGCTGCAGGAAGGTAAGGACCATCTGTTTGATTCACTCATTTATCGTTAGTTCCTGGCACAGGGCCTAAGGCACAGTAAGTACCCACTGAGCATGTGCTGGGTGAATAAATGTGTGATTTGACCCAGAATGACGGCTCTCCTGCCTTAAGACCATGGGCTGCAGGACTTTCTTGTGATTGGACTAGTTGCAGGACAGACAAGAATAGCTCCACATGAAATGTGCTTCAGTGATCCCTGGTCCACATTTTGGGATCTCACGCCTCCTTTTTTCTCTCCTACTTAAATGGGGTGAAAATCCAATCCCATGACAGCTTTCTAAATATGTTTATTCAAAATAATTACCTGGTCTGAGATTAACCTTCACATTTTAGCATAGAAGTGTTTACTAGGGGCATATGAACCTTCTCAGAGAAACTGGTACATTTTTTTTTCTGCCCTTCAATCTAAAGTGGTCTGTCAGAAGATTCACAGACATAGAGAGCAAACTTATGATTACCAGGGGGTAAAGGGGTAAGTTGGGAGTTTGAGATTTGAAGATACTAACTACTATACTAGAATAGATAAATAACATGTTTCTACTGTATAATACAGTGAACTATATTCAATAGTCTGTAGTAACCTATAATGAAAAAGAATATGAAAAGGAATATATGTCTGTATATGTATGACTGAAACATGATACTGCACACCAGAAACTGACACAGCATGGTAAACTGACTATACGTTAATTTTAAAAAAGAACTTTGGAAGGAAGGAAGGAAAGAGAAAGAAAGAAAGAGGGAGGGAGGGAGGAAGGAAGGAAGGAAGGAAGGAAGGAAGAAAGAAAGAAAGAAAGAAAGAAAGAAAGAAAGAAAGAGAGGTTTGTTAGAATATTAATGTATTTAATGGAATATTTTAACAGGAATAACCCTCCTGAAGCAGGACAGTATCTCTGGCATCACTAAAGCTCATCAAGGATTTTTGAATTTAGCTTAAAAGGAAGTGTACCTTGAAAAATAAAACTGTGAGCTCTGCAGAAGAGATTGCAATCGCCCAGCGCAACACTGGTCTCAAATCCCCCTCCCCGCCCCACCTCCTGCCGTGGAAGGTTCTGGAGGACCTGAGATTTGACTTTGTGTCTCTTGCCACACAGAGCTGGGAGCTTAGTGATGTGGCTGAAGGTTGAACTCCCAGGAACTTCTGTGTGATGGAGCAAGCAGAGATCTCCACGCGCTGGTGGAACAGCTCCAGAGGGCTGAGTGTTTTGCCTGTTTGGCAGATGCAGAGTGGAGGCTGACAGAGCGGAAGAGATTTGATCCTGAGTGTCAGTGGCCCCCCTGCACCGCTGCGGGGCGCCAGCACCCTCTCCCGGGTCAGCGGCTCCCTGAGCTCCAGGCGGCTGTGCGAGCCTGATCAGGAGACGGGAAAGCCTCCGTCTTGAGGTACTAGGACTTTAGTTCCCAGAGTACCTAGTGATAGTTAGCTAATACTGACAACTGCTATTTTACACAATTTTCCACACATTTTAATAATATTCCTATCTTGACTTCCCCTTCTTTGAAATCTACATTGTACAACCACTAACCCTTAGTTTCAGCCTAATATTTCAATTCAAAATCTTTACCAATGAAGTCAGTTTGTAGTGCTGTTGACTTGATACCGTTACTGTTATATTTGAGGTCTTAAAATCTAGACTAGCTTCTTTTCATTTTATTTTGACTTAGTCCTCAGCACACATCTGGAGCCCTCTTCTTAGAGAGCAGCCCTATCAAGCATCAGGCAGTGATGTGAATGTTTCCTTGATGCGCATGGAATTGAACGCTTTTCTCTCTTTTTAGCCAGAGCTGTTTGTTTCATTTCAGCAGAGAAGTGGTCTGCTATCTCAAAAGCTGTTTGCTGCAAATCCAAGGTTATAATTGAGTGGTGCTTTTACTATGGAAATCTCCTAGTATTTTTAAAATAAGATTCTGTCTTTAGATAGGCAACCACGAAGTTTTCCAGAGCCTCAGTTTTCCTCCACAAAACGAGAGGCTTGGAATAAGAAACTTTGTTTCTTTCTAAAACGCTCTACAAATCTAAGATTTGAATCCAATGCATCTGTGTGAAAGGGACTCACACCTGCACCCTGCCTCATGCTCAGGCTCTCAGTGTCACCTGTGGAAGGGGAGACTCCCTGTCCTTTAAACTCTACCCTGCTTTGTTTTGTCTGAATTCTGATGTGCAGGGCACTCAGAAAGCAAAAGGACAACCCAGAGGACCTTCTGAACAGTATCCATTATTAAATATAAGGCACACCCAGTCAGCAGTTCAACATTCATTTATAGTCTTTACAATTGCTGGGAACCTGCAACTAAAAGAATCTTTGTACCTTTGGAAACCAATAAACAAGAAGGCTTCAAACAATTTTCCTTCTACCATTCTGAGGATTTAGCTCAGACCTCTACCATAAAAGTCTAACAAGAGAAAAACAAACAAGTTTATTAACATGGTACTTCACGTATACGTGGGAGATATCCGGGGAAAAATGATCTCTCTCCTGGGTGGCTCAGAATTTAGGATGAAATACCATCCTAAGGGGAGGGAGGATGTAGCCTCTTAGAGGAGAGTAAATGATTTTTAGGGAAAATGAATGGGCCCTTGGAGAATAGATGGTGGCATGATGGTGACACTGTTTGACATCAACCTTCTAGTCTCCTCTCCTGTGATGGGTCAGTCTTTCCTGGCTTGACAGTGACTTAAACATCATAGGAGCCACAGGAGAAAGAAAGATCCAAGCTGTGGAGATTCAGAAGTGGGAATCAGGGCAGAAGGAGGGGCTTTATCACGGAAGGCTCTGGAAACCCTGATAAGGACATTGGCATTTACACTAAGATAAAAGTCTTCAAGAGGTTTGAGCAGAAACGAAAGAGGTGTTCTGACTTTTATTTCCTCCAGTTCTTGCCCCAAGAATATACGTTAGGGGGCTTTTCTAATAATTCAGACGAAATGATGCTGGTTTAATTCAATATGGTGGCTGGAACGGTGCTAAGAAATGATTGGACTCTGTAAAGATTTAAATTCTAGACATATTCTGAAGGTCGGACTAACATTATAACCTGAAAGACCAGATTTGGAATGTGGGAGAACCAGAAGAATCTAGGTTAGCTGTGAACTTTTTTTTTCTCTGAGATGAATAAAGTTGCCTCAGTAAAGTTCTGTTTCTTTAGCACAGACTGGGAAGGCTGGGGAGGAACTGGTTCAGAGATGTTTTTCCAGGAACTTTGGAGATGGTAAGCTTAAGGTGCATATTAGACCTCCAAATGGAAATGTCAAAGATGGCTGAGAACTCACGTTTGGGGTCTAGGGGAGAGGCTCGGATGGATGCAGAAATTTGGGAGGCATTGGCCAGTAGATTGGTGTATTAATTAAGGTAATATCAGTTTCCACTAGCAGAAACCACAGCCCCCTAAGTGACAAACCCAAAATCTTATTAGGTTCAATTAATAGAAATTTTCCATTCCTTTTAAATTCCAATCCACAGTGGGAAGAGGGAGGAAGGGAAGGGCTCACACTGTTAGTCAGGGACCTAGGCTAATGTAGGCTCACCAGTCGGAACCATCACCCCACTGGTATGGAGGAAAAAGAATTATGCCCATAGAAAATGCGTGGGGAGTGCAGATCACTTCTGCTCTTGTTCTATAGGAAAAACAGACTCGGGGGCCCAGTGAGATGTGAGAAGAACTGGGAGGCAGTTCTGGCTGGGCAGTTTTTCATCCAGTCCACAAGCTGCACTAAGGAAGGGGAGTACGCGTCTCGGGCAGTTAGCTGGGCAGCTCCCCCATGGAGAGCACTGAGAGTGAGAGCAGAGGAGGAAACAAGAGGTGCAAGGACTGAGCCATAGGATGTGCCAGTACTGGGATGCTGGGCAGCTGGCGAGGGGCCAGCAGAACAAGACTGAGAATGGACATTAAGGGCGGAAAACTCGTGTGTGTGCTGTGTCCTGGAATGAAGGGCATCGTTCATGGACGGAAGGGAGAATGACAGCATCAAAGGCCACTGACGGATCAAGTAAGATGCAGATGGAGACAACACCTTTGATCTAGAAACATGGAGGTTTGGGGACCTTGAGAAGGACCCTTTTTGTAGAGGAGTAGAAATAAAATCTCAATGAGAGTGGCTTCAAGAGAGAAACAGAGACGTTAGAGACAGCATCAACATCTCCTCCAGGGATGCTACTGAACGAGGAAGGACATAAATAGGACAGTAGCCAGAAGGAAACATGGGGTCAAAGAAAGACAAAAACTAGACTGGAGGAAAAAAACAGCATATTTGCATAGTGATGAAAATGACCCAATGGAAAGGGGAAAAATGAATGACTTGGGGGGTGGGGCGTATTTCAGTGGCAGAGCGCCTGCTTAGAATGCACAAGGTCCTGGGTTCAATCCCCAGTGCCTCCATTAAAATAAATAAATAAACCTAATTACCTCCCCTTCCCTCCCCCCCCCCCAATTATTTTTTCAGTGGATGTCTTAGAGTAAGGAAAAAAATGGAAATTGTTGCACTATTCCAGTGAGATGAGAGGGATGGTATTTAGTGAGCTGGTGGAGGCATTAGGCTCGGCTAGAAATAAGGGGAGTTTATCTGCAGCAACGGGAAGGGAAGGGCATGGGGCAGCGCGGTGAGCATTTGGGACAAGAGCAGGTTTATAAAGTCCTGGTCTCATGGCTTTCATTTTATCAGTGAGAGCGAGGATGGGGAAAGAGGCACCGGAGACTTGAGGGGAACGTGAAAATATGAAATGCCTGTCAACGGGAATGGACGAGAGAATGGCTAGGGATATAAATGATGAGTTTCAAACAGAATTAGAGCACAACCCGAGGTTGCTAACCATGAAGATAAAGTGGGACCAGTCAGCTCAGTTGTGTGTTTTCGGTACCTGCCTCCTCTTGGGCAGGCAGTGGGCGGAGATCAGATTTAACCGGCATCGTGGTCTCGGGGAGGAGCAAGGTGGTTGAGGGCTTGTGCCTGGAAGCAGTATGATGGTGGACTGGATCACAGAAGTCGGGGAGGACTGATGGACTCAAGTGCCTTTAGGGGGCCAAGGTAGGTGCCACTGGGGCATTAGAGGGAGTGAGCACGAAAGAAAAGAAGAAAGAGTAGAGAGAAGGTTTAACATTGGAATTTACTTATTTCTGAATTTGTTTATTTTAACGTATACTTTGGTTTATGAGAAAAGGGCTACAAAAAATGAATGTAAATAATTTGAAAAATCTATTCACCCACAGATAACGTTCATTCGACTCACGATGATTCAACTGAATTTTTTAAGATCTGGTAATAGACACTCATAATTGCACAGGGTGAAGTGCTTCAATTAATGCAGCTCATTTTCTAATGGGTTGGCACAAACCCCACATGTCAAGCTTGAAGAAGGTTCTGACCATAGAAGCAAATGAACTGCCGGTACGATAGTGGCCTTATAAGCTCAAAGTCATACACCAAAAACGTCCATCATGAGTGGTTTTTGGACAGGAGCACAGCCTGGGATTTCTTCACAATTCTGTATTTGGGCAAAAAAAAGTGCTACTTGTATTAAACAGTAATTCATCTCTAATATGGGTGTATGCATTAGTAAGAACTATACAGTTTTAGAGCTTGGTTTAAATACCATATAGTGCTGAATTCGACGAAGTATTTCCAATATGAGCTAGAATTCATCCAGGTTGTTTAAATAAAAAATCACCCTGACCTCTAAGGAACCTACTTCCTCCTGAGTCATGGACATTGCTCAGAGGGAGTTTAGCCAATTCTGGAATTCCGAGGACTATTATAAGGAGAGAAATCCTTGCAGATGACATAAGACAGCCCTTAATTAGCTACTTACCAGGTAACCTATGGCTCTAATCCCTGGATTCATTCATGACACCTACACCCCACTGTCCCATCCACTGATGTGTGTGGTCCCCTCTGGAATGTGAGCTCTGACGGAGCAGATGTCACGGCATCTGAGTCATGGGGCTGGTAGAGAAGTCGTCACACATAGTAAACACTCAGCCCGTGTTTGAATGAGTGAAAAACAAAATCAGCCAAGGGCATGGATTTGCTTTCTGGTTATTTCCTACTTAATTCTCAGAGTGTTCTGTTTCCTTCTGTTTGTCATTCCATTAACTGTTTGCCCCCCTGCAGTTTCTTCTTAACTGATGAGTCTTTCCTATGTATTTTTCTCGTTCTTGAGAAGTACCCAGATAAGGAAAAGGAAATTGAGCCCCAGAATACACAAGTTCTTGCTTGGAACTGGCTGCTTCTACTCAAGAGTCCTGGGAGCACCCTCTCTGGTTGTGACTGTCCCCCTCATGGCTTCCCTCCTTAGGTGAAAATGACCACATGGAACACCCAAGACAGTTACTCCCGAGCTGCTGCTTTGAAGGTAGTCATGGAACCTCTCTTTTTCAAGCAATTGATGGGTTTTCCAGAATATCCTTTCCTTTTTCATGTTATTAGTGAAGTTCTTCAAAGCCACACTGTTTGGTGTGTCACTAAGTTTGCCCACAGTCCAAGTCCATTGTTGGGCAAAGGACCGAGGTCGTCTCGAGAAAGGCTGCGGTGAGGTGAGCATATCTGGGCAGAGTCACTGCAGTCCTGAGTTTCAGACGATGCCCTTCTGATCCCAGAGCCGGAGACTCAGCAAAACACAGCCCCACTGACACCCCAAGGAGGACGTTCCCTCTTCTCTCTTCTTGTCACAAGCTGGGTGTCAGCAGAGCTCCAGTTTGAGATGTCAGTTGACTAAACTGAAAGGGAAGAAAAGGATCAATGTATGTGAGAACCTCGATGGAAAGTGTAAGAGCAGTTACACACAGCGATTCCAGTGAGCACCAACTGCGTCATCGCCCTGCTCTGTGTCACCCTTTCCAACGAGGCTCATGCAGAGCTGCCTTCAGAAAGCGAAACCTCTTCAAACGTGACCTTTCCAAAATGGCGGAGGGGATAAATTGGGAGTTTGGGATTAACATGTACACACTACTGTATATAAAACAGATAAACAACGAGGACCTACTTTAAAGCCCAGGGAACTATATTCAGTATCTTGTAATACCCTATAATGGAAAAGAATCAGAAAAAGAAATATATGTGTGTGTGTGTGTGTATATATATATATATATATATATATATATATATATATATATATATATATATATTGAATCACTTTGCTGTACACCTGAAACTAACACAACATTGTAAATCAACTATACTTCAATTAGAAAAAAAAAATGTAACGTCTCCAACCCTTCTAAAATGAAACTGTTACAGCAGTCAACCTCCCTATGGGCTGCCTGAATCCCAGGACTGCTTTCTTGATCTCCCAGGTCAGACAGACCACAGCATGGTGGAGCCTCATGAAATGGACCAGGTGAGTCAAACCCTTGTATTTTAAATCTTAAATTTATTAAAAAAATTAGAGCTCAAATTTAGTATGACAGTAGGAGGTACAAAATGAATGAACCTGACAAACATAAAATCAGGACGGCAGGAAACCAGGACAAAGACATCCCCTCTCACCTCATGGAAGAGGTCGGGACGCTCCCTTCTGGGGCAAATCGGAAGTTAATGCAAAACCATGCTATACGTTACTTCTAACTTGACTGACATGTTATTTCCGTTTTCACTTTTTATACTTTTAGAAAACAGTACACATTTCCTGTTTATGCCACGGTCCCAGGGAGAGACCAGTTGGCTCATTCTGGGCTTGGAGAAATGAGGTCATTCCCATGCACTGTTGGCAAAGACACCTGACACGACTTCTACACAAATCGTGTTTCAAATATCAAGTGTCACTCTTTAAGACTACTTTTAAATGCCTATTTAATATGTCCCGTGTTCTTCTAGGTTAGAGTACAAATTTAATTTTATGGAAAACACTGCAGTCGCTTTGAAGAGATGATTTATAATTTAGACCAACTAGCAGGTATGTCATTTACTGTATTAGAAATAATGATGATACTAATCATATAATGACATTATCCTCCAACCGTATTGTGAAGGTATATGTCCAATAAAACAGGCAGCCTATAAACACCCAGAGAGTCATTCCTTTATGAAAGGCTGTATCAACATCAGTGACTCAAATTTGTTGAACTGCTGGCCCTGGAAATGACATTCCACACCACAGCGGGGCCCCCTGAGGGTTCTACCGAGGAAGAAAAATCATCCGTGTATAAATGTTCCCTTTCCTGGAATAACTGACTGACTATTAGACTTATTATTCGTGCTTCTTATTGTCACCCTTCCTTTGATGATTCAGCTTCAATTTTATACTTATATTTTTGTCTTGAATTCTTCTTTAACTTTGTAAATGTGGACATCTTTTTTTTTTAATTCCAGAATTAGTTGAGAAAAAAGTGATACACACATACAAATGGACGGATGGCAAGGAAAACACAGGAGCTGTCATGGTGTGCTGGGTGCTTGTGTGGGTCTCAGGGTGGGCACGTTCCTGCAGCTTCCCAGACTCAATTTCCCTATTT